GTGGCCCAAAATAATCAGCTAGCAGCTAATTAATCATGCAGCTAGTAAGTGGTATAGCTAGATTACATTTTATTATTGCTTGTACAGTATGTAGCAATCTTGGAAACTTGCTACAGTAGTGGTACAGAAGTTTTTGTAGTGGCACTAAGAAAAAATAGTAGCTTTTTACTACTGTGTAGTAGTGGCCTGATACGGTATAGGTAGGAAGTAATTATAAAACAGATGCTTAAATAGTGTGACTCTAGCAGCTAGGCACATTTTCTAGCATCAATATGGCAGATAAATTCTTACGCAGCAGCTAACTCTTTACATAGCATGTATTTTAAAAAGGATTACTTCAAAAGTAGCTTCTTGCTAATACTACACTTATTACACAGGCATGAGCTAACTTTTTTCTCCGTGGGCTTAATTGTGTCCCAGGCAGCGGCTGCTGTCAGTTTGACATACTGCTGCAGTTGTTACATTTACTTTGAGGTTTGGTAACAGTTACGGTGTGGATCACAGTAGGACCAACAGCCCCACAGGGGTAATCTTACTGCCCCCCCAGAAAAACTTCTCATCACCAACAGTGAAACACACGTCCACTAGTAAATAATACAAAGACACTGGTACCACCTGCAGTTCACTGCTTTATACAAATATAATATATACGTATAATACACAATATATACAAATACACTAGTACACACAAATACTAGTGTATACAAATACACTAGTATTGGTATAGGGTTTATTTTTTTCTCTCTCTATGTTGAGTGTGTGTGTGTGTGTTGCTCCAGCTGCTGCAGACTGTAACTTACCCACCACACACACACACACACACACACACACACACCCTACTTGACCCTAGAGACCCAACAGTTGCTCACATCACTTTGGTGAAGGGGGGGGGGGGGCAGAGGGGTCTTTGACTGTCGACTGTAAACACTTCACTGTGATCACATGATCATTAGCCTCAGAACTAAACAACTGAATTAAACAAATCAAAGGTTAACTCACTATATAAATGTAATCAAATGAACAAGAATTATAATTCAACTTGATGGGAAAGTGAACACAAACGTAAGGACTAAATACATTTTGCGTCGTTTTAACAGCAATTTAAGGATGATCCCTTTGCCATATACTTGTACCAAACACTGGTTATGAGCATAGATGGTACATCCTGCTTTAAAGTGTCATTTCTAGTTCAAGAGAGAAGCTAAAAATGAGACAAAAACACACACCTGGCCTGAAAAGTGTCATGAATTTATGCTCACTCACAGTCTCGATGTGAACTTCCTGTTTTCTGTGCTTTTATTTTTATCCTCCATCATTTAACTGCTGCTAATGACTGTTTAGCAAGTAAATGATCCGTTCAACACACACACACACACACAACCATCAACACATGCACACACACACACGCAGACATGAACATGTATAGCACACAAACAAATTAACAACTACACAAAAACACGATCACGCACAGACACACACACACACACACACAGAGACACATACATTATACACAAACACACACTTAATTGTGTTGCAGTGTACTGCTGTGCAATAACAATAAAGTCTATTCTGTTTTGCTCTAATTTCTTCTACCTTTAGCTACAGTACTGTTTGTTATTGTTTTAGCTGAGGCTTAGCATCATATTTATGAATAAATAAATGTGCTGTTGTGTTGGTTTTCTTGTTTCTTGTTAACCTTGTTGTTCATTGTCAGATTAGCATGCAGGGGTTTTTTTTAGCTAACCATTAGCAGCCTGTTGTCAGTTTGTTATCTGAAGAATCTTTGGCTAACTTTGTTGAATGACTCTCCCGTCATCCAATCCATTGTTTATCTAATCATCTTCAAACTGCATGCATCACCTGGCTAATCTTTAACCATCTGTTTCCCACTCTGTTGAACGGAATGTTTTTAGTTTTGTTTTTTATTATCTCTGCCCTTCGTCTTCACCTGCTGCTCAACTGTGGCCGTGGCTCCGTCACTGATAATCACAGCTTCAGTCAAACAGACGTAAACAGGCATTAGAAGCTGAAGCTGAAGCTGAAGCTGAAGCTGAAGCTGCTGCTGCTGCTGCTGCTGAACTACACTTATCAGATTTAAACCTAACCTAATGTTGAGTCGTCAGAGAGAGAGAGAGAGATCAGTTCAGTTCAGCTGCATGAAGTCTGCAGCGACCTCTGCTGCATTGTTCAGGAAGAGACTTTCAAATTAACACTGAAACTCTAATCATATCAGAGAGCAGTTTTGTTTCCTGAGCCGTGGAGACCAGGCTGAGGCTGCTGCCGTAGGTGTGGTCTCAGGTCCAAGGTCAGGGTTCAGGAGGTCAGCTGACCTCTGACTGACATGCTAAGTGGCAGACAACCAGTCTGACCTCCGACCCTGAGGTCTTGCTCTTGTTTCCTAGTGTGAAACTATTGAAGTGGAGGTCAAAGGAAACAAGGAAGGAGGAGAAATGGTGTCTGTATAAATTCACCAGAAAATAAACACTTGAAGTAGTGACAACAGTGACGATTAAAGACAAGTTATCACTTCGTTAGTTCTCATGCTGTGACATAGTGTGTGTGTGTGTGTGTGTGTGTGTGTGTGTGTGTACAAGTTGTAAATGTCTTCAAGAGTGTGACCTGAGTTTTTTTAGCTGCTGTTCAAGAGCGCTCTAATGGAAACGTCTGATGCTTTCTGTGTGTGTGTGTGTGTGTGTGTGTGTGTGTGTGTGTTTTGGCATGTGTGTGCGTGTGTGATGATTAATGACCTCTCCCTCTGATCACTCACTTGCAGCTGAATCACCTGTTCTCTGGTCACAGGGAGGGGGGCCTGAGTGTGTGTGTGTGTGTGTGTGTGTGTTTGCATGTGTGTTCCTGCACTGATGAACACTTTGAAGGTTAAATGGTGAATATCACGCAAACACACATAAACATGAACCTACACACACACTCACACAGAATTAATCTACTGCTGTCGTCAAGTCAGTTGTTCTTGTAGAGGCAAATTTCACCAAATTTCACCAAACAGTCTGACTTCCCCACGGACACAGGCACAAAATACAAAATGGGCCAAAAAAACTGGCATACGTAGAAGAGAAACATGAGAAGGTCACCAGATTGACCTCCACCAGTTTGACCTCCACCAGTTTGACCCCCAGTTCTGACTGCTGGTCTTTTTTTGGTCTCCTGTGTGGGGGGGTGTGTGTGTGTGGGTGTGTTCTCTCCAGGTTCTCCAGCTTCCTCCCACAGTCCACAAACAGGATCAGGTGTGAACGTAAGTGTTGTGGTTGTCTTTCACTGCCTTTTCTATCGGTCGAGATGCTTTGAACAAGTTCAAGTGAAGTTCCAGTTTCTATCAGATTCAGAGAAGCAGCAGTGAAACTGTGTCAACATCTCATTTAACCGCATAAAAACCCTGAAGCGTCCTTGAAAAGCCCTGTGTAACACCAGATGCTTTGAGAGTCTTCACAAGAGAGAAAAAGAAACGAGAACACCTTCAGATCAGCGTGGGCACTGACACCGCCTCAGCGCTGCCCTCTATTGTCTGGTGGACAGTTAGATCTTTGCGTCTGTGATCTGTGACAACAATGGAAAAACCTCTGCCTTTGTGCTGCCAACAAGTGTCGTCATTCAGTCCACAAACGCATCAGTCAGCTTCACACACTGAGCTGTGAAAGTTCCTCAGGCTAAATCAAGACGTTTCTGCTCCTCCTGAAGGAGGTTCTCACTGGCAGGGGTGTTAGACGTGTTCTCAGCCAAAGGTGGTTTCTTTGTTATTTAAATGTGAACCAAACATGAGGTCAGAGTCACCCCTATAATTAATCCATACTGGAAGCAAAACATAGCTACAGATGATGGGAAGTAAACCCAGGAAAAAATGGAAAATGACTGGAATACTGGAAAAGTTCAGCCATGACAATAGCTACGGTAAAGTAGCTGCAAAATGGAACACCGTCAGGACGTCAGCAAATACTGTCCAGCTTTTGGGCTTCGTTTACATTTTTGTTTTCCTACAGCATTCTGTGAGACCAAATGTTTGTGGAATTTTGTTTTAAAAATACTTTGCGTAGCCTTGTGTTAAAGTGTTCTCCCCTGTGATCTGAGATCCTGCTGATGAAATAGTTGCAGTAAATGAACCAAAAACAAATAGATGTAAAGAAACAAATTAGCAAAATGAACAAATACAGAACTAGAAGTGAGTTGCAAAAACCTGGGGATACCAGGCCATACATGTAGCTAATACAGTATAGCGTTTGGTCTATGTAATAACTAACAGGAATATGAAGGATATTGCAAACCATTATGGCTAAATGTCGATATTTTTCAAATTCACTTTTAAAAACTGTTGTTACTTTTTCTTAGCCTTCTTTCGGCATTTTGGAAGCTTAGTCTAAAGAGACTTTTGTGGAATTTTGTTTTGAAAATAGTTTTGTGTAACTTTGTGTTAAAGTGTTGTCTGACCTTCTGGTGTTTGTGTCTTGTTCGGCAGATTATCTGAGAGGATCTCCAGCAGCAGCAGCAGAAGAGGGCGATGTCTTTGTTCTCAAACAGGAAACTGTGTAAAATAATCCTGACACTTCCCTTTAACCTGAGGGCTGGAAAACCACATGAAGGAAGGAGAAACCACGGCGGAAATCCTGGCCTCACACACAGGTGAGTGTCCTCACTCCCATCCATCACCTTCTTTATCTGCGTCTTCCATCACACTCTCAGTTTCTCCCACTCTCCTCTCACCCTCTCTCCCCTCAAAGCTCTATTAAAAATCAACGTAAACACATTAGTGAGTGTGAATGGACACAAATTTTTCTTTGTTGGAGAAAATCAGGGGGATTTGGTCCAATTCACGCCAACAACATCAGGGAAAAAGCAGAACTCACCTGATTTGTCTGCTTAATTATAATCACTGATCTAATCTATATCTATCTGTTTTGTTGGAAGGTGAGTGAAAAACAAAACAAAAATATTGACATTCCACCAGTGTCTAGCTGAAAGGAATTTTGGAAAAATGCTCTTGAAAAAAATCTTAGTTCCAGTGAAATTTATTGGTCAAATTTCATGCCCGGCTTCGATAGACACAACATCCCTTTTCATTTATGACGTGTTTGTTATATGTCAGATGATTAGAGAGACAAGAGAGGTGTGGGTTTAGGAGGAAAAGCTCAAAGTTGGAAAAATAATTATAAAAAAATTACTGTATGGGCTAAAAAGTTGAAAATCAAATACCAATATATAGAAATAATGCAAAAAATATAAAGTTAAACTGATGAGGATAAAATATATTCAGACCTTAGCCATGTATAAAATGTGCCAATATATAAGTATGTTTAAAAATATATGCAAGTGCGACATGTTTGGAGTATAAGTCGATGATGATGATGATGATGATGATGAGGATGATGAGTGGTGGTCATGTTAAACCACAGATATCACTTCTCTGTTAATGTAGTTATCCATAATCTGTCAGTTTTTGAACAGAACCTACACCTGTGTGTCCACCTGTGTGTCCAGACTGATCATGTGACCTCTTAGATCATGTGATCTTTCAGAACAATTCTAAATTCACTCCTCAGGCTTACGGCCATGACAGGGAGGTAAAAAAAAAAGCAACGCTTGTGCAGAGGTGGAGTCCTGACTGATCAGAGCAAAGATAAGGAGGCCAGAAAGGAGGAGGTGACATGTGAGTAAAGAGGTGAGAGAGAAGAAAAAGAGGGAGATCAGCAGAGATAAGAGGAAATGAGGGCAGGAGGATAAAAGAGGGGAGGGAGAAAGTGAAGACATTCTGAAATTTGACTCTGATGCTGCAGGATCAGGATGCTGCAGGATTATTGCTAGAATTGACACTAATTCAATACATTTTCACACATTTTAGTCATAAATTATAAACGTTTGTACAGCTGATTAAAATGGCCCTCTTTCTTCAGCCCAGTTCTAAGTCTATGACCAAAACATCATCAGAAGAGATTGAAAACCTCACAGTGTATGTGCTGCTGTCACTCTGGCTCCTTTATCCTCTTTCCCACTTTGATTGACAAGTCAAATGGTTTCTCAGTGGAGCCTGTAGGTGGCACTAATGACAGGAAGCGACACAACATAAAATCGCGTTTGGATAAGCAGCGTTAGCTTAGCATCGCAGATCGTTGGAGAAGACTGACGGTTGTGATAGAGAAGTCTTTAACTCAGTGGCTGACACGCTATGACATGTGAATGTGGTATTTGGTCTCCCTCTAGTGGTAAGCATGTAAATCCGATACCCATTGTGATAAGAAGAGTAATTTAGTCGTGAAACATAGTTCTTCATGTTTGCAGTTAAGAGTGGAACCGTGATATTTGTGAGTGTCAGTGGTGGAGAGCAGAATTAAAGCCCTGGTCAGTCCTCCAGTCCATCACAGGGTCACACACAGAGACAAACCAAACTGTTCACACTCACACTCCCATCTAGGGTCTGTTTAGAGTGAAAATATAATATAATAAAGGCAAAAAGTTGGAGAACGTGAAGATCCCACACACAGAGAACTGGAAGAGTCCGTACAGAAAGAGCAGCAGCTACAGCCGCTACTGTGTGGCCCCTGGTTCAGGTTAATAGAAAACAGTCGTGCTATAGAAGCAAAATACATGTGTGTGTTTAACCGACTGTGTCCATTTGACCCTTGTGGCCTGGCGTGTGTCTCTGTGACAGCAAAGACTTGTGGGAAAGGTGTGCGAGGACAGTTGCTGCTGAAACTGGATCTGATTGGTGGTTCTTCAGTCTCAGTTGTTGCGGCTTGATCAGAGTGTTTTCACAGTTGTTGTTCTTCTTCTCCTGCTCGACGTTTCTCTTCACCAGTCTGAAAAAAAGGAAGAAAATGTAGTCCATTCCATCTCTGTGTCTTTGGAGGAAGACATTAAAGGAAAGAAAAGCCCACAACAGTTTAGAAAATGTCTAAGAAATCTACAAAAAGTGGAAGAAAAAAAAAAGCAAACCTAATGGATGTAATTTGAGCATTATTTTCAGAAGAGTTCTTATAATGATTATGACTTTCAGCAAAGTAGAGTGGACTTTAATGATAGCCCAGTTGTGGTTGAAAGTCAGTGAAAAAAGGTCAGTGGTTCGATCCCCTCTATCTGATGATCTTACTGTGCGACCTGTCATGTGTTCTGTATTTGTTTTCTTCATCTACTCTAGATACTAACCTGACAAAGTTTAAGAAGAAAGGATGACAACAACAACAGAAACATATACTGTATATTATCAATTTAACATGGATTCAGCCTGTGACACGGTTCAAATCTGTATTTATTTCCTACATGAATCATCTCTGTTGTCCACTCAGATGTTTTTATCCCTCTCTTTAAACTCCTCTGTCAGATCCCCTCGGTAACTCCTGTATCCCATCAATCAGTCCAGTCGAATCTGTGTTTTTGCTCGCTTTTGGAAGTGTGTGTGTGTGTGTGTGTGTGTGTGTCTCCACATGTCTGCAGCCTCTCTGTAAATCACTGCACTGAACAAATACATACACGTTCTGTTAAACCCAGGGATACATCAGACCAGATGTAGACAGTCCATATACAGTGTGTGTGTGTGTGTGTGTGTTAGTGTAGGAGGGTGGGCAAATATTACACAACCACCTCCACTGCATGTCTGGGTAGTCAGAAAAACACTGTTGTCTCCAGAAACTCCCCAAATTAAAGCCGTTCAAGGAGCTCCATTCTAGATTTATAATTCAAAGAGTTTAAGACTAAAAGAGTGCTATGACGTAGCCTAAAAATGGATATCTGAAAGAAATACAGGGTATGGGTAGTACTGAACACAAACAGCTAAAGGTTAGCTAAAACAGGTGAAGTCAAAGCCGTCATCAGAAATTCTTAAAAACAAAGTCCAAAACTCTTCTGACTGTGCCTTTAAAGCTGGCCCTCCTCACAGTTGGATCAGTTTATGGAGGGAAACCACTTGAACTTACAGCAGCTCCACAAACACTGACCGCACTCTGACAACACCACTCACTTTCTTCACTCTCTGCCCACGTCCCAGCAGCAGCAGACCAGTGTTTCCAAACACACCACTGACCGTGGAGAGGTTGCTGTTCTATTCACGGGTCGGTGCTGTGGTGGTGCCATACCTTGGCACGACGGAGCGTCGCTCTGCCAGCCTGTTATTATGGCCCAGTCTGTGACACTAACAAATGACATACAAGTGACGAAGAGAAGAGGGAATGTTTTATTTTCTGACCTCTGGCTCCATTTGGACTCTCACTACCCTCATGTTGTGTAATTCCCTTTGCCTCTCAATTCCAACCTCCATAGAAACAATCAGCAATTTGAAGATCACACTATTTTTAAATTTTCATTTAATAGTTTAAAATCCTTTTATTTATATCAGTGGCACAAACTGACCACAAGAGGCAGCAGTGTAGCTCCTGTGTCCCTCTGAGCTTAATTCTTCAATTAATTTTCCTAATGATTCTTTGGTGCACATGAGGAAGACCTGCAATATATACTGTATGTTGGTGACTGGTCATGAAGTGCTTTATTTGTGAGGCGGAGGATTTTAAAGTCTCGCCTACATCCTACTGGGAGCCAGGACTGCAGTGATATGGTCTCTCTTTCTGGTTCCTGTTGATACTCCTGCTCCAGTACTTTGGATCAGCTGAAGTATTTTAACATAATTAACGGGACAGTCTGACAGCAGAGAGTGTTCCAGATGTAACAACGACATGAACTCATTTTCAACACCTTTCAATGAAAGGATATTTATATTTTTGTTAATATTTAGCAGGTGATGAAGGGCTCCCCTAAGAATTTACCCCAAACTCTGTAATAGGACAAAATGGATTCATACGTACTGTCATGATCATATTTACTAATGTTTATACATGTATACAGTATTCATATACTGTATACATGTATGTATAAATGTACATATATATATACTATATGACTATGAGCCTCATCACTGTACGATAATATATAATATTACATTAGATTATAGTGAATGTCCAGTGACTTTTTCACATAACTTTGTAGAACAGTGAGTTTGATATACGTATATGAGATGAGACTGCTCTCTAGTGGAGGAATCTGGTCATCACATTGACGTTCTAATTCTTTCAGGAATATAAAGTAATTGAAAATCATGGGTTCAGGGAAGAAGAAAAATTTCTACAGTTGAAAATAAAATCGGTAATATATTTTTGCACCGACATTTCTTCACTAATAACAAACGTGCCAGTCAAACAAAATTAATTAGACAAAAAATTAAAATATTAAAATAAAATTCAAATAATATTTGAATAATAACACCATGACATAGTTGATAAGGCACTGTAGATACAGTATGCACATTTGAACGTAATAATCCTGGCCATGAAACGTGGGTTTTGTAGAGTTGGTAAACTATTCAGGTCCTCACACCAAATTCCATAGAGAAATACTGTGATTTTAGCTGCTGTCTCCACCACTGAGTTCAAATGTGTTGTTCTATGACCAAGGTGTTCAATACTACTGTATTTGTGTCACTACGCATTATAAATATGGACTGGTCAGAAGGGGAATTAGCTCAAATGGTAGAGCGCTCGCTTAGCATGCGAGAGGTAGCGGGATCGATGCCCGCATTCTCCAGGTACACTTTTCCCAAAATAAATTGTTATTCTTATTATTTCCCCACTGCCGGTTCAATAAGGTTCGACCCTGAGCTTAACAATATAATTAGCCGTGTTCCACTAACCTAATGAGTCAATGAGAATAAACATCTGAATTTCTGATTGGAAGTAATGTCAAAACAAACAATTGTTTTTCTTTTTTATTAATATCTATGTGGTTTATTGATTGATTTTTTTTCATTCTCAGTACAAATACTGCAATTGTGCACAAGCACACACAACTTTGTTGCTCTGTTTTTTAATGAGCTTTGACGGTAATGTTTACCTCAAAGTCACCACAGGAGGGTGCTGTGGGATTTGGGACGGGAGAGTGAGTGTTAACTAAACTTTGTTTATATCTTTGAAAAGGCCATTGAACACCGTTTACACTTTAGCATACAGAATCGAGTGGTAAACATGACTGATTTTGAATCATTTGTCTTAGATTTAGTTTATTTATCTCAAGCTTAGAAACGGCAGTTTCAGCCAACATCTCAGTTCCACTAAAATGATTTGAAAAAACAATGGTAACCTGCTATAAATACACCCACATTTGCTTTGTTTTTTATTTCTCACCACCCTTTAATTTAATCTTTGTTTTACCGTAGAAACATCAGCCTGATGTGACAAGTTTTAATGAGTTTCTCGTGTGAAAATCCCACTGCAGCAGCCGCTCAAATACAGTTTTATTTTTGTTTTATTAAAAAGTTCCATTCCAAATGAAGCCAAGCAGTTTGACTGTGTTTGGTTTAAGTCAGGTGTCAGCATTTTTTAATTAAACCCACAGTCTGAAGGTTAAATTTGATTTAAGGATCAAATCTGACTTTTGATGAGACTGTTTGATGGAGTTTAGTTTAATACTCTTCATTAATGTGGGATTAACACCGACTATATTAGATTCAAAGTCATGTTTACATGTTTAGGTTTATGTGTCATCAGTGATTCAGCGATTTAAACTCTCAGAAAACTTCTTCATAACAAACACAACATTACATTGAATATCTTGCACAAATCGCTCTTTGATCCACTGCTGCCCCCTTCAGGAAGTTCGAGTTCTTTATTTGACTTTACACGTTCGTCAGTTACAAAAGTTGACTACAGGAGGCAGCACTAAACGAATTGCTCCCTCAGCACCAAAATCACGGATTTTCTCTGTGGACTTTGGTTCTCTAAGATGAGTAGCTCACAAAGATATGTTGTAAACCATCTCTGACTCTAGGAGACATCAGTTTTATCGTGTATATATTTGTTGTGTATTTTATTATGTATATACACATCAGTTGTTTTTCCAGTACTTTTTTAAAATTATTGCTGTTTTTATTTTTTACGTATGTTCTGAATGAGCTCAGTGACCACAGGAGATGATACAAAAGTTCCTTTTACTGTTAGAAAGAGTCAGTGGAGTAGTAAGATACGTGACAAAGGTATCGTGGAGATAATTTAGTCTCAAACAGACAAATGTTACAGTGGCTGGCTCTTTTGAAAAGGTGATAAACTCACTGGTGTTTTGTGTTTAATAGCTCTCTTTTTTTTCAAAAGACAGCTTCTCTTTCATCAGGTCACAGTTAAACTTAGTTAACCTGGTTAACAGTTAAACTTTTTTTGTGGTTAATCTTCAACATTGTTGACATGAGCATCAATCCTGCAGCAGCAGCAGGCTGGAGGGAGCAGGTGAATTTTTCTGATAGGTAAAGATTGTCTGGTCTGATTCTGGGAACATTTGATTCTGAGCAGATTCCAAGAACAAGGCAGTTGTGGTGGGAGTCAGGAAATAGTCAGGAACTCAAAGACCCCTGAAAACACAAATGTTAAGGATGAAGCAGTGAAGAAGAGAAGGAACAGGAGGGGAACAAGACATTGTGCATTAGAGATGAAGAAGAGGCTGCAGCCAATGATAATGGTGGCTGTTGGTGTCTGGAACAGATGACTCTGATTCCAGGCCCAGCTATTTAACTGCTCTACCTCATAAGAGTGATCCGTGATAAAAACGAACAAACATCTAGTCAAACAAAAGAGGATCATTATATTACTAGAGTCATTATATCTGCTCTCTGGTTCAAATATACCAATGGAAATGGTCAATATCATCAGGGTATATCCAAAAGTTGTCTAGTGCAGAGAAAAGAAATGATGCAGTGGCGTTGAACAGATTTTAATGAGCTCCACTGCTATAGGAAGCTGGGAGAACGACATCTCATCAGACTGTCATCAGTTCAGAGTCAACAGCTGACTCTGAACGGGACAGTCAAATAGTTGATGAGGTTTTGGTCAGTTTAGTCAATGAAAATGTGATGTCAGGACATTGTTTTAAGGACAACTTAGGGGACGCTGGGCTGTCCCCGAGACACCACCACTGAGTTTAAATGTCTGTTCTAAAGATTCTTGTCTGTGCCTGTCGTGAAGCATCAGTGTTTGTCATGTCAAAAAGCAGAGAAGTGAACAATGTTGGAGGGAGAAGAGACTGGGCTCAGTGAAGAGGCGCGTCATTAACATGTCAGACTCTTCCTCTCATTCACCATCATTTATCTCTCTTCAGCCTCTTCACTCATTTTTATGTCCAGTTTGTCTCCTTAAAAAGCTGTGATTTTTTAAATTATTATTTTAAGAAGGTTTTTCTGAGTGAAAAACAACAGAAGGACTTCTGAAAAAAGTTCAGAGTTGAACTAAAAGTTTGCAGGTAGAAATTAAGTTTCAGTTTTTTTTACCAAGTAAAAAAAGTTTAAATGTTATTTTTCCATCAGGTTCTGTGTTTTAATTAATAGTTGGTGTTTAATTTTTTGACCAATTTCTTTGCTTTCACTGCATTAATTTGTGTCATTTTTCAGCCAATTCTAAGTACTTTGCTGTATTATCCTTAGCACATTTGTTTGTAAATAATTAGCATTTTGGGTTTTTTTTTTTGACAGACATTTCTTTGATCAGTTTCAAGCCTTTAGCTTCTTTGGAGCTTTTGTTATTACTTTTTTTAGCGTGACACATACTATTTATTTTTTAAAATTATTTTAAAGCTATGACTAATGGTGCTTAATTAAAATTTGGCTAAATGTAACCGAGCAAATGTCTTTAATTGGTTATTTCTAACTAATTAGGCAACGATGTAGCTAATTTAATGGTTAGCTTGTTTTGTGTATTATTAATGGTTAGCATTCAGTGGTGGACAAAGTACACTAACTATGTACTTGAGTGAAGGTATAGCTGGCATATGTAGAATATTACTCCAGTAAAAGTATTCACTTCAAATTTCCAACTGAATAGAAGTATAAGAGTATTTGCCTTCATTTATACTTAAGTATTAAAAGTAAAAGTACATTTACTTCATTACTGTGCACCACTGTTTCACTGCTTTCACTTGCTAGTCCAAAATATTAGTTTAATTTTTTCAGCTTGGTTTGACAAAAGACTTGTGGCCTATATCACTTACATTAAGCTAACGCTCCGCTGAGATCATAGAAACAGACAAAATTTGTCCATTTTTGTCACTTTGGACTAACTCTGGTCCAGTTAGATATCATGAGGTCGGAGACAGACAGACTACATCTCTGATCAGTGCGCCTCATCCTCTCTCAGACACGCATTTCCTCTAATTTCACTCTGGATTTTCAATTTTCCCATCACACCTGGACAGTAAAAGGTGTCTTTTGTGCCGCGAGAGAATAATGACGAGGGAAAAGTAGGAGAAAAACAAGACAAGGAGTGAAAATGAGAGTGAGGAAGAGAGAGGGAGAGATGGGGACAAGGACTTGGAA